AACCAGGTAAGAGTATAGTTCAAGTGGTAAAATCCTGTCTAGCAACATGAAATAAGTCCTGAATTTGATCCTCAGCAGAGAGAGAGAGAGAAAGAGAGAGAGAGAGAGAGAGAAAGAAAGAAAAAGAGAAAACAGAAAAAAAGAACAAATGTGGTTTCACAGGAAAAATAGTTGGTTAAATTTTCTGGCATGTTTCCTCAATGTTTGCTACAACATGAGTGTTTTCCCTTTGGGTCAACCAGAATAATTTTCTTTTCATACTGCAGTTAATCTAGCTTTGTTATAATACTTTTATCAATTTTCATTCTAAATAATATTATATGTTGAATCAATTCTTTCCTTCTGTATTCATTCCCTGCTAAAGAAGATACTTTTTTTATAGTTTCACCTGTATTTAGAAGGAGTCCTTTTATGTATCCCAATCTGACCACAAACTTTATGACCTCCTCTCGTAGCATTCTGAGTACACAGGTGCCACCATACCCAGCATTTTAATAGGGCTGGGAAGGCGGCTCAGTGGTAGAGTGCTTGCTTGCATTCATGAGGTCCTGGGTTCAATTCCTCAGCACCACATAAGCAGAAAAAGCTGGAAGTGGTGCTGTGGCTCAAGTGGTAGAGCGCTAGCCTTGAGCTGAAGAGCTGAGGGACAGCACCAAGGCCCAGAGTTCAGGCCCCATGACTGACCAAAAAACATGTATTTTAATCAATTTCTAAGTGAATCTTAAATAATCCAGTGGAAGGTACTAGAAGGTATCAAGTACTATTCGTGTGTATGAGTGTGTCTGTCTGGGTATCTGTGCATTTAGAATGATATAACTATTAGTAACAGAGCACTCTAGTAACAGTAGTTTAAATAAAGGAAGGTTTTATGTTAACCCACAAGGAATCTGGAGGTCAAACTTTTTTTCTCTTCTATCCATCCACATCATCCATGCTATTGTTCTCGAGATGATTGTAATCATATCCTCCCACCCACAACTGGGGTGGGGAAGAGAAGGAAATAGTGGTGGTGCAAATATCTTTCCAGTACATGGCTCTTTGATTTGCAATTAGTAAATTATTTGTAAGTACTTGCCCCACCCCCACACACAAAGAGATCTCTTTATGTTTGGACAGACTTGGTCCCATGCTTGTCCCTCCCCCCGCCCCCCCTGCCCCAAAGCAGACTAATAGGAATGGAATTAGCACTGGCTTAGACAACCTTTAGTTTATTAGGTTGGTCTGGCTATATTATTTCCTGCACAATCCTTGAGTCTTTATTACAGAAACGAGGGAATTAAGTATCGAACCTATTAGTGGACAGCAACTTCATTACCAAGACCACAGAGACTCAAGCCATTACTTTTTATATTCATGGAAGGGGAAAAAAAGAAGTTAGTCTTTCATCTTCTCCCTTTCTGCCTCGGTTTTATAAATAAAGAAAAAGAAGTTAAGCGGACTTTTTCATAAAGTAGACTCATATTAACTATACATTCATGTGAAAAAAAATCTGATCCAACACCCTTAGTGACTGGAGTCTGACTCAGCCCAGCCTTTGCATGCTCTCAATCCCAAAAGCTAAGGGGGGTTTCCAAAAGTATTGACTTTCAGAGTGGGAGAGTATCCTGTAGTTGCAAGCTCACAGTTCACATGGAAGTTCTGACTAACAAAAGTGCACTCTGACATTTTTCTTTTTGGTGAATCCACAGGGAAGAATGCTTTGCAGTCAGTCATGCCAGAAGTATTACTAAGTGGTCTGTGGAGAGAGATCAGTTCTGAGGTAAAAGTAAATCCAGGAAGATGCTCAGCTAACTACATTTAAATAGATTTCTTTATCACAGGATTTCTTAGAGAATTTACATTGCTAAAGTGTATTGTGCCATCTCCAAAAGATATCTATTGTTCTTACCCAACTTTAATTTCATCATGAATCTTTTTTGGGGGGGTCTAGAGCATTTACTGATTCCTCCTTTTAAAAAATAATGTCATTACCTATATTTTCTATGGATTTGGTGAAAATGAAAAAAAATCATCTTTCACTTATAAGAAAACCCTTCCTAACAAAGGGTGAAACAAATGCAGCTGTGGTACTTACTAGACACTCATGAAAAAGCAAAGGAAGGGGTGAGATTGTCCAAAAAGAAATGCATTCATACCTGGCTTATGTAACTGTAACCCCTCTGTACATCACCTTTGTAACAACAGTCAAAAAGGAAAAAGAAAACCCTCCTTCTCAACTAAGTTCATGTAAGATGCCAATTCAGTAACACTATTCTAGAAATAGAAAACAATATGTTAAATATATGGATGAAGTATACCACACATATTTAAGATTATTAAATGGTGTAACAATATCTTCGTGTTGTAAAGACACAACACAGGCTATGTACTTTCTAATTCTTATTAACTTGGATTCCTAAATAACTTATTTATCAATAATAAATTCCTCCTTCCTTTGTAAAAGAAAACTTTTTAGACTGAAAGTTCAGAAAAATACACTTGAAGGAATACTAGTTTAAGCTATTTTCTCCCAAATATGTTGTGATAAATTGTAGGTATACTTAATCTCATTTAGGAGAATGAACAGCATGGCAGTGCATATCTACAATCCCAGAAGAAGTGAAAGGAGTACCAGCTTGACCTACATAATGAGAACTTGTCTGAAAATAAATAGCAAAGACACAATAGAGGAAGGTAACAGTAGAACATAGCAAGGAATTTCTTAGGCCTCATCAAAATGAGCCAATCAGATTCAAAAGTAATCACTGTAGGAGCTAAATGGCATAAAAATAGCAGTGAGTCTCCATCTTTTTTTAATCCTGCTAGTAATGGACTGAATTATCTTTTGGAATAACTAACTGACTGCCTGAATCAGCAGAAATGGCAGCATCCAGTGACACAGGAAAGCACATAGAGAAAAAGAGCAAAAGGCAACTAGTTTCTTTTTTATCATTTCTTTGGGGGAAAGTACCCAAACACAAACAAGCAAAATTTTACAGAATATCTGTCATAAGAAGGATTTCCCACAGGCAAACAAGTTATGTCTTCCAGTGAGCATAGCACATAGTAAATGTTCTCTAAATCCAGAAGATGCCAAAAATCAGGAAAGCTGGGGAGAAAAAAAAAATCAAGAGATATCTCTGTCCTAAGGACAGATTGTAAATAACCACATACAAAGATGATGAAATATTTGGTAAAAAAAATACTTTTGTTTACTCTTTCATGAAGCCCTACAAACTAGTGGTTACATGGGAAAAAAACAAAACAAAACAAAACTCAATGATTGGCCAAGTCCTGGTGGTTTTAAGATGATAATGTATGTGTAGGTCCTAGATAGGTAAAAGGAGACATCAAAGATTAGCAAAGAAACCACAATGAACTGGTGGTTAGGCACACCCAGTTTGTCTTTGGAATGATGGTATTTGCCAGTTAACAGTGAGGGTAAGATCTGAGTATCATGGTTCAAAGCCAGCCTGAAAGGAAAGTCCATGAGACATGTCCAGTGAAGTACCAAAAACCAGATATGGAGCTGTGACTCAAGTGGTAGAGCACCATCCTTGAGTTAAAAGGCTAAAGGGAAGTGCCCTGACCTGAGTTCAAGCACCAGTACCAGTAACAACAACAAAACTAAAATCTTTAAGGCGGGCCCATGGCTCACACCTGTCGTCCTAGCTACTCAGAAGGCTGAGCCAGCCCGTGCAGGAAGTTCTGTGAAACTCTTATCTTCAATTAAGTACCCCCCAAAATCTGTAAGAGGAAGTATGGCTCAAGTGGTAGGGAGCTAACTTGAGCAAAAAAGCTCAGCAAAAGGATCCAAGGGCTGAGTTCAAGCCCCAGGACGAACACACAACAAAATAAAAATAGTAGTTTGTAGCTTTTCCAAAACTACCTGACTAGACAACATTGCCATCTAGTGGTCTAAACGTACTACATCTGCCACTTTTGGGGTGGGAGCTGGGGTCCCAAAAGGACTCTTAAGCCAAGTGCCCACTATGTGTGATGTTTACAGTGGTCCGAGAAGCTACACCAAACTCACCCAGAGCAAGATCACACTGACTTTCAGTTACAGAGACTATGTGAGGCTCAAAGCTTTAGTAGTTTCACCAAGAAAAGACCATAAACAAAAACCAAGAAAACAAAAACAAACACTATCACCATTGAAACAAGCTTTTGATTTGCCTTGCAATTTTTTTGACCTTTTTGGTTTTCCCTTTTCACCCCTTTGTTTACCCACTTGACTGAAATATTTTCCACATATTCTCTTCTCTTTACAATCAGGATGTATCACCACTACTAGATGAAGAGGTATCATTCATCACTGAAGGTCAATTACACAACAGAAAGTCAATCTAAGTTTTAAAGGAAACCCAGAATCTGTTCTACCTGGGTAAGCCAAAGGGGGGCAATGGTCTTAAGATGAATATATAAAGTATAGAGCTTCTAATGTTGGAGCAGGAAACAACCAATCCAGTATTTGAAAGAGAAATATCCTAGCAAACATCCCTTGGGGCCTCTTCTTTGGTTGAAATCAGACACTCATGGCTTCTGATTGGCTTATGAGCTTGGCATCTGCAACCAAACCACCTGTGGAAAGTTCCATCCACATGCTAAAAAGAGCATGGAAAGACTTGGCATAAGACCTACATGTCCTGTGGACCTTCTGGACCACTTCCAGAATAATACTCATGAATTCCTGTTAATCTCCATCGTGACTATACATGGTTTACATCATGAAGGATACATAAATACTGACAAAGCAGCCATTAAATCTTTTTCAAGCCTTCAAAAAAAACAATGAAAGTTAGAAACATGTACCATTTTACATTCGTTTGAATACAGGAACAGTGGAAAAACTGAAAGAGGCAATTTCCAGAAACCCAAATATGTACCTATCCAAAATTTGCATCCCAGGCTGAGGCATGCCTAAGCAAATGGATCTAAGTTCAAATTCCTGTTAGAAAAATTCTGGAATACACTTACTTCCCATATGCAAACTTAGGAGAGCAGCTGTCAGCTCTTACCTATAATAAAAAGGATCTCCACTGCGATGTCACTGACTGTCGTGCTCCGAGTTGTGGACAGGTCATCATTGCCAATGAAACAAACGTTGTAAGGGACAGTCACGGCTACATAAAACGTCGCCAACAAAATAAGCCAGTCCCAGCCAGCTTTAAAAGTGCTAAAATGCAAAAGGATGAATTTGGACTTTTTTGCATCAGAAACTTTATATTCTGGAAATGCTGGTTTATCCACAAAAACATTCTGTGCAGAAAGACAAAAAGAAGAGAAGGAGGAAAAGAAATACATCAGAAACAAGGCTCAGAGAGGCTTAAACATTACATTTCTGGGAGACGCTCATTTGTGCATAGAGTGTCAATAAATTTTGCAAGACTTTTAAGACTCAATATGGACATCCAACCATGTGCTGCTTAACTATATTTCAGTTGAAGAAGGACCTCTTATACAATGGTGACCACACTGGAAAGGCTGACCAATTATACCACTCATTTGTGCTGATGTTAATGTAAGCCAATTTATTAAAGTAACAGTCATGTAAAGGTCTGGCTCACACATTGATGATGTACAGTAGATGACCTTTGAAAATTACAGTAACCAACAGTGTTGTTGGTTTACACAATTACTCCATACACTGTTATTTTAGAGTTATTTGAAGCAGTGCCTAGCATCCCAACCAGCAGCAGCCTTAGACATCTCCTGGTTATCTCCCTATTGATTTGTCAGGCAGTCAGTTTGATTAATTGGCATGCACTATCTAGGCTTGTTGAAGTGCATCCTGTAGTATTCACATAAGGATGAAATAATCTAAGCCACAATGCTCAGAATGTCTTGCTGCTACAATGTGGCATGTGACTGTTCTAAAATTGAGCAGAGATCTTTCTTGTGAATAACAGGTATGTTCAGAGTTTTGTCATGAATGTGGAGTGAGTAATCTAGATTTCACTCATTAAAAAACAAGCAGACCATTGTTTTAAATGTCATTTAAAAATAGCTAGAGTTAGAAGTGGCGCTGTAGCTCAAGTGGTAGAGCGCTCGCCTTGAGCTGAAGAGCTGAGGGACAGTGCCCAGGCCCAGAGTTCAAGCCCCACGACCAACAAAAAAAAAATAGCTAGAGTTGCTAGTATAACCCTACACACATCAGAAACATGAAACTATGTCTTTATGCTTTGATTCTGCGAGGACAATCTGATGATAGTCATTGTCTAGAGTATATTTGACCTGAGATTTGCTGAAATCAGCAAAGGTAGTTTATTTGCTTTCTTAGAAAGGATAGACATGACCAACATTCTGTTCTAAATAGCTGTTTACATTCTTTCAAAATATAACCAGGATGTATATGCTGTTTTCATTATGTTGGCTAGTGAAGTTTCCTAGTTTATTATCTTCATGAAGAGTTTATTATCTTTATGAACAGTAATGCATTCAGATACTGGCCAGACTTTGGTTCCAGGGTAAGGCAAGAAATAGTTAATTAAGGGTTATTATTTGGGTCATTGAAAGAGGAAGGCCATGTTCATTGTATAGCTGATGAAGTGCAGAAGAATAGCTGGAGTTTTTGATAACTGCAAAAGCTTTTTACTTTGAAAGCAGTCCAAATTGATGAACAATTCCCTTATTGCCAGGACACAAAGGCAGGCCCTACAATAGTGTGTGTGGAAATTTGACAAGCCTGTAACTAGATACTTTCAGACCTTGCTTTGACCTCAATTAATGAGAAATGCAAGATAGGTAATGAAAACTTAAATTTGAAAGTGAAGTTGAATGAACAGACTAGCTTAAAGTTCTGGAATACATATTACTTTCAGGTCACAGTGTTGTTTTCTTGTCTTGGTTATTGAGGGAAAGACAAATAATGTGGCATGTTCAGGGAACCCAAAAGTATCTGAGACTTCGTGAAACAGCAAGAGAGAGCAGGAAGAATTGGTTCTTAGCCATGACTATCCATTGTCTAAATAGTCATGCTAAATGTCTGGTAGACCAAACACGTTTCCCTTTCCTGTTAATATTCTTACTCAACCCATGTAGGCATTTCATCATGCCAATTCTTCGTGATAAGCCCGTATTTTGCTTCTTCTAATTGGTTTGATGGTACCCAATGAATTACTGAATCTATATTCCACACTGGTCCCAATAAAAAAGATCTGCTGCTTTTACTCTAGTCTGATTCTGAGGGTTAAGTTACAAAGTGGATTTTAACATAAAACTAAGAAGAGGAGATGAAGTCCTGAATTGAACTTCTTACAAAAGTCAGGCAGGAACATGGCAGAGAACATTATGATATTCATCTCCTCAAGATCAGTGAGTACTGCCGCTTATATTTATAGCTCGTACATTTTCCTAAATATTTACCACAATAGGAAATGATCAGAGACATCAGGAGCAACACATTTATCAGTCTAAGTAATTACAATAAGGTGAAAGTTAAGTTTTACCTTGTTCAAGGGGAGAGGCCAGGTCTAGGGTAAGGGTTGGGAACTACTGCTCTAATGAACCTTAGCTATCTCCACCACTTAGAAAATAAAATACACAATTTCACTTATGTAGGCCACTTAAAGCATATTATTTAATATTCTCGTATTATTATTAAATCATATTCTTGATTATACTGAGAATTCAGTTCAGCTCAGGTACATCTTAACTTTTGAAATGTTCACTAAAGTCTTGCACACATCCTTATGTAATCAACTGGGTGGAAAAAAAATGTGTTTTTCTTTCTTCTTCAGAGTTTGAAGCCTATGTACCTGTCCCATAAAACTATCTCAGAGGAGAAGTAAGGTGAGGAGATTTGTGTCTACATTGTGTCAGAAGATTTAAGGCTGAGTCCCACAGTGTCTCCTCCTGCTTTAGAAATTTTAAGTAAGTTGGTAAGTTGGATTCTGCAAATTGTTAAAATGAGACTAAGAAAAATGTGCTGGCTTGCTGTAAGAACCAAATAACATAAGCAAAAGGAACTTTTAGTGGTATTTTTAAACAGCTAGGAGCTATAATTCTGGTGTGTGTGTGTCCATGTTGCTATCATCAGAATTTCCCACCCCCCAAAAGATGATTTAGCCAGTAATTTATCCAGAGTATTTTCTCCCCTTCCCTTCTCTTTTTGCTCTGTGTGCTTTAGCCGTTCTCCTCTGCTCTCCTAGAAAACAGTTGGAGACAGGACCAGTCAGTCCTGTTTCTACAATTGGCTTTACAAGTAAGATTTACTTGTCCCAGCAGAGTCCCTGTGTCGATGCGACATCCTTGAATACTGTATTGTATATTATTTTAATACTCCACCCTGATGTTTATACTTCCTCTATGAAAGGCAATTAGGCAATTAGCTGAGCAGTGGGAGTTACGAATTTTTTAATCAGAATTTTAAGTGGTGTTTTGTACTTCGTTAAGTCGAAAGGGAAAAGCAGAAAGCTTAGCAAATGCATCAGAAAGCTCACTAATAGTTGGGATATTTAAATGATTCTCAGTATAAACCTAGAAGATCCTGTCAGCTTTCTGCATAATAGGATCTCTGGATGGCATTTATAAAGGTGCTTTGCTGGTTGGATTGCATGAATCCTGTTCAGATGTAGTTACTTTTGTTTCTTCCTAGAACTTGTTTGCTTTCACCAAGGCTGACTTAGTAACTTAAGGGAACCAGAGGTAGGATTCAGGGAGGGAGTGACATGTGATGTTGTCTTTCCCTGGATTCTCAGGAATCAATGAGTAGGTCCACCTAGAAAACCTTCATATTAGGCAGGGCAAAGATAATACATTATATAACTCTCCATTGTGGTTCATGGCTGACCAAAAAGGGCATGGAGATGGTCCATAAATATAATTGGATTAAAATATTTTATTCTGCTTTCCAGGACCAGGCTTGCAACATTTGCATTCTCTCTCTCTCTCTGCACTAAAATTAGAGAAACAGATGTTTTCTGTGCCTGATGAAAGACCTGTTTTATCAAAATTATCTGTATGTAAGATAACAGTGTACCAGAAGTATTGGATTAAAGTAAATTTCCAAAGAATCCCTTGTATCCTTAACTCTCAGACATCTGGATTTGGGACCAATTTTAAAATAGTTCTGATTGATTGATATGACTGATGCTAACAGCATTGGTGAGGTAGACCAGGTATTCGTGCTCCTGTTCCTAGTCACAACTGCTCTCACTCCCCATTTGCTCTGATGATTCCACAAGGTAAACTAATGACATTAATATCATTCAAAATGTTAGCTTTTTGAAACCGGGTGCTGGTGGCTCACACCTGTAATCCTAGCTACTGAGGAGGCTGAGATCTGAGGATCATGGTTCAAAGCCAGCCCCAGGCTGGAAAGTCCCTGAAACTCTTATCTCCAATAAACTACCAGAAAACTGGAAATGGTGCTGTGGCTCAAGCAGTAGAGTGCTCGCCTTGAGCTGAAGAGCACAGGGACAGCACCCAAGCTCAGAGTTCAAGCCCCACCATCGACAAAAAAAAAAAGTAAAAAGTTGTCTAGTGCCCAATTTACTCCCAACTAAGTGGCTCCCAGAACATGGTAGTCT